AAGATTATATTGATCAATTGCGTGAAACTAAGAAAATTGTTTCTCTATGTCGTACTCGACAGTCTTTCTCGCCAGAATCTGTCTTTATATTTATAATCCTACCATTCGTCCCTGCTTCGAATATTCCTGCCACATCTGGTCTGGTGCTCTTACTATATATTTAGGGATTCTTCATAAAATCCAAAGAAGAATCTGCAATGTTATCTGTCATCTCAGGTTACGTCCCTTTCCAACCGCCGTAACATAGTTTTCCTATGTCTTTGATATAAATGTTTTCATGATAATTGTTCTTATGAACCGTCCGTCATGGTAATTGTAACTAAGTAAATGGTCAAATAAACAATAAAACAAGTGTTACAGACATATCATATATTAAACAGTAAGTACAACAGACGTGTATTACACGACTAGAGAGTGTGTGTCGGTTGACCCAGCGTTCAATCTATTCGACTGTTATATTTAACAGTCCCCTCACAAGGAATGTATGTGGTACAGGGCCGAGTTTAACGTGGGTTTCTCCGAACCCGTAGGCTCGGCCAAAAATATTCCCTTTGAACCCGCCTAGACGGGTTCAGGGCCTGTCTAGCTCCCCGGAGGAAACTTTGCCCTGCGGCAAAGCTTCGTCCGAGTTCCTCTCTGCCGAGGCAGAGAGTTCGACAGTTTGAACAATCTATGCGACTGTTATATTTAACAGTCCCCCCCACAAGAAATGCATGTGGCACAAGGCCGAGTTTAACGTGGGTATCTCTGAGCCCGTAGGCTCGGCAAAAATATCCCCTTTTAATCCACCAAAACGGGTTCAGGGACTGTATACCTTCCCGGACGAAACTTTGCCCTGCCGTAAAGGTTCGTCCGAGTTCCTCTCTCCTACTAATCTTATAGTAGGCGGAAGAGCCCAACATAGATTATTTTGAGGGAGGAAACCACAACAGTAATGTTGTTATCTCATACCTTAATCAGCAGGCAAATTTACATATGGGGTCTAATTCTGACTACACAGATATGAGTTATTTGGTGGCTGTAGTAAGAATAGGATGTATGTTTTGATTTTGTGTAAGGAATTTTATGGCATGTTTGGGACAGTAATCGTGGCTAACTCAGTTTAAGATGAGACAGAATGAAGACCATCTCTCCACCATCCTCACTTTTGTCCTTGTGTCACATTTTTCTATTAAAACAAAATAAATATAATTTTCTATCATGTTACCTACACTTCATGAACTTAAGGACAGTATAAGATTGGCAACAAGTTATTATTTTACAATAAAACTAAGTAGATACAACAGTAAGTTTTTTGATAGCAGCTCCTTCTATTGCATTTCTGGCTTGTGTGTCCCTATTCCGGCTTCTTGCTTCCAGGTCAACTTTGACCCAGAATTTAAATGCAATGTTAATCTTTATCTTCTGTCTTCTTAATTCTTGTTCTTTTATTATCTTCATTTAATTTTTCTTTCATATTCTGTAACACTCAGTAACTCCACTTTGGTCCTTGTGGACTTTATTACCATGCTTGGGATGAAATGATAAAAAATGTCCCTAATACGCCAACCACAAAAGGAGAGAATCTGAGCTGATGGTTTGGTACAGTTTGCTCTACCATGACTTTGTATCTATCTATATTCGCCTGCTCTGCCGGCGTTTTCTTCTTATTCGAAGTTATTACAACGTCTACCAAGATGCCATCATAGCTGTTCTTGTACGACATGAGGGTAATCAGTCAAGATGATCGAATTTTGCATGATCTTCACTTGGTAATGCTTAGCCACTGACGTTGATGAATGGTCGAAGCAATTCTATGTAAACGCAAGGGTATACTTCAGGTATAATTACCAATTTATTATTAGTAGTATGATTATACTTTTATCTTATTTTTCTTTTTGAATAGGTTCAAATAACAGGTTAGTCTTTTCACTATTCCGCCGAGTTCTTGTCCTGACATCCATTTGCACAAATTCGCTAGATAGTTGCTGCCCTCCGTCCGTCGTATCAGTGTGCGACAAATTCTCCAATAACTCTTTTCATATTAGCGGTATTAGAAATTTCAACTGTCACTTCCTGATGTTAAGTATAAGCATCCTTTTTTTTTACATTTTCCTTAAATGATTCTGGTTAGTTTTCTTTAAACCTTCCTCGTTATTGTCTTGTACATTCCGTATGGATACTCAGTAGCCTTCAACAGAACAACATTTCTAGCAAGAGAAATGCATTCTTCTTTATATTATTATTAATATTGTGAAACTTTCTTTGATTTATATAGTATAATCGTTTCCTTCCGGGTCCCAACTAGAATCATAAGGTCGGAAATGGAATCATCAGATTTGCCTCTATGCATTTTTGTAAGACGAAACCCCTCCAAAATCCTAATATCAAAGAGATTTTACAAAGATAAAAAGTGTGATTTGTACTTGTAAATATATTTTTTATTTCTTTAACACTCTGTCCACAACGGGTTCTATCCACTGAGTCTTTCGGAACTCTTTCCACTTAAACTGAAGGCTCCAACTCCAACTGAAAATAGTGATATCCTCATGTGCCATATATTTAGGTTCCCACTTCAAGATCCTTGTATTTTGATAGTTATTTTGAGGATCTTCGAAGACACAGTACAGTCTTCAAGACTGTGATGTCAATAAGAAGGCACATTATGGTTTTTGATCCTGGGCGATTAGCGATTAACTTCGATTGTTATGTCTGCTTCTATTGTAAAGTCCCATAAAATTGTATCTGGTCCATTGTTTGCAACCGGGTCTGGGTGGTGTTCTTACCAATTTCTTGCAGTTTCCTTTCCGTAAAAGTTATTATTCGCTTAGAGTGTGTTACACTTGTAAAACTAGTCCCCTAAATACAGACAAACCTCATCAGTATCCAAGCTACTCTGTGACAGGCGCCTGTGTTTAATATTAGTATAGTAATGGTAATGGTAATATTAGCTGTTACTTTCCCTGACCGAGTGTAGTGCTCTTGTCTGTTGAAATTTATAAAATCTTAGCCTTAAAACAATTTTTCAGTAAAATAGATTTCAAAAGTCCAGCAGCAGTTATCGCTCTGTTCAGTATTGGGGGCCCTTCTTTACCTTTTGTTTAAAGTTGTAAGAAAAACCAAAATTTTGATTATGTTATTATTTTTCTCTCCGAGTTACACGTGAAAGTCCTCAAGTGATGTGGTTTTTGTTATTTGGTACGGTTCTTTACTTCTGTTTCTGTAGCGCCACTTCACAAGTCTGGAAGACATGAGGTCTTCTCCAAGACCCGTAGTCTTGACTCGTTGAAAGCTATTTTTTATCCAGTGAGCTCAGAAAGCGGTTTTTATACCGTGGGTAGTTTAGAACATGTTTGGCGCCATGTATGGATGACGTTTGAAAGTCTCGATCTGACGAGCCAATTAAAGAACCTGACTGGAGCTTAAATGTTAATGTTTTAGTTTTATAGCAAATAAAGGTTTTGGTCGAAACTAAATCTAGCGCTGGCTATTCACTATTCAATTTCCGTATCTCCTATATTCCAGTTACTTTTTCATTCTCTTTCACTTCCAGTAGACACTTTATCTTGTTGCTGGTCTCGCTTTGCTTGGAGTGAATTGATTACAAAAACTAAATTCACCGAATGTACAGCCATTAAAAGCCAATAGATAACTGAGGTTCAAAGACTTTAGTGAGAAGATAGGACAATAAAAGAACAGTTTTCAAAAAGACATAATAACGCTACATTAAACTTTTTGAATATCGTAACTGAGAGAAAACAAGAAGAAAAGAACCCGACAGCCGAGAGAAGAAACAGTTGGCATAATATTTATAGTTACGTCTAGCAATTTTAGCAGTAGAATGATGAATCCGAGCTGCTAAGCTAGTACTACGCTTGTTACAAATTCATGACGGTCGTCTTCGAGTATAGAATCCAGAGATTGGCAGTGAATATTTCGGAGACAGTAGGAAAGCGTATTTCAGGTTAGCAGTGGATATCGCAGAAAAGTAGCAGAGCGTAGTTCTTCCGTCTCTCATGTTCGCCTGACAAGTTGGCACTGGTCATTCCGGTAGGGTAAACAAAGATGGCCGCCTTTATACACGACGGATACAATGTTCTGCGGCTTCTGATTGGTCAACCTTCTATTGGTAGACTATAAAGGGAATTAAGTCATTTTGACTAACTCACTAGTTACATAGTATATATACACAAAAAACTGTAACAACGCTTACATTCATATGCGAAAGGGCAAAGATAGGTTACATCATGGTAGTAGGAAAGTGACTCTAAGCCGAACTTCCATGTCAGCTTTGATAACTTTTGTGATGTAAACGAACATTCCTTGCAACTTTTGTGATGTCAACGAATACTCATTGTCACTCTTTTCTAATGCTCGTTGTAGTAGAGACTATTTAATCGCAGAAAGATGTATAGTAACGCCGTTGAATAATGCTGGTATCAGACACCTTCGAATAACATTCGCACTAATAGTACATGTTCGATAATATTCGCTTGAAAAGTAATCCGTATAGTGATCCAGATAGAGAAATAGTATAGTGAATAGAGTAGAGAATAACGGTCCGTATAGTAATAGAGGATAGAATGCGAACCGAATAGAGGATAGAATAGAAACAGCGATCAATCTAGACGTAACTTGACTTCCTGTATATGCGTTTCATCTATGTTCACGTGATTCAGTTAATTCAATAATGGGATCGCCTGTGTTTGCTCACTGACGATCTATGTTCAAACTCAAGTATCGGCAGCGACACTTTATTCCTATATAGCAATAACATTGTAGGTTCTTCTTGAGTTTTGTCAGCAATCAGAAAACAAATATTCAATGCACGGATGATATATTTATTTTTATGTTAAAGGAAATCATTTAAATTTGTTTGTGTTATTATTAGATTCATTTTTCACTGAACTACTGTATTTGCCTAACAAAGATAACATCTAAAGTAAAACGGATATTAATATCGTCTTTTCCTTTCAGAACATGATAGGGTAAGATTTTTAACAGGTAAATATGGGTTATAATCAAAAATAAAATGTCGCTGGACGTAGATTATCATAGATAGATAATAGAAAGAAAAGATCGAAAAAAGAAAACGAAGCTAATAAAACTGAGATGTATATAAAAATCCGTAAGGAAAGGAAGACTGGAGAAATTAAAAAAAAAAGAAAGACGAAAAATGAGAAAAAAAAAAGATTTTAAATTTTGGCGGCAAAAGAAAACGAAAAAAAAATTGTACAATAAAATACAGAAAGAAATAAAACTTTATCATTTCATCACAAGCATAGTAATAAAGTCAAGAAGTTAGTGAATGCGAAATAATTTGAGTAAAATAAAATCATTACTAAAGAGAGATAAAAATGAAAGAACGGGGAGTAAGAAGACAGACGATAACGACTGATATTGCATTTAACTTTTCGCAGATCAAATTTGAGTGGGGAGCAAGAAGAAAGACGAGATTTACACAAGCCAGACTTGTGATAGAAGAAACTGTTAGCATAGAACTTACGGTTACATCGAGCCATTTCAACTGTTAAATGAGTAGACCGTTCCATCAATTTAGTTGTTGTGTCGGAAACCTACCACCCCTCTTGAAGATGAACTTGTCTGCGTCTGTGAACAAAGACTTTAAATAGTGGCATGTCAGTTGACATGGGGGGAAGACAGATAGACAGAGAAGTTATTAGCTAAGCTAGTTATTGACTACTCAGGCGATTTCTGTACCTTTTTACCAACCTATTAAAACCCTTTTTTATTGTTACGTGTTATTTGTTTGTCTCTACTAACCCCAAATCAACATCAGAACATTAGTACTGCACTTAAATTCATAAAGTCATAAACTCTCTTTTTAGAGGAAATTTCATCAAAACAATTACGATGATATTATTTATAGAAAAGCACAATTACAATCGAAAAAACTGTTAGCATATAACTTACATTTGCATCTACCCATTTCAATCGTAAAACGATGAGATCATATTGCGTAGATACTGCACTTAAATTTATAATGCCTCAGTACCATAGCAGAAAGTTCATCAGAAGAATTACCATGAAAATATTCATAGAAAAGGCACAAGGAACATAGGCTACGGCGTTGGTTAAAGTGACTGAAGCCGAGATGTTATTTGTTGGCAAAAAAAGACTCACTTATCTGAAATATTAGATATTGTTGTACGTTAATGAATAGACTAAAATGATATTGTTTTTTTTTTAATTGGACCAAGATGTCAGTTCTAATCATATTCGATGTTCTTTGCAGCTGATCTCTCTTCCGATCGTTTCTAACAGCTCAACCTGGGGAAAACTGGTTTGTCATATTTAATAACACAAAAACAAAACTAAGAACATTCAATCATCACCAAAAACACACTGGATTTCCGCCTACCTTGATGAATGGGTTTTCTTAAAAGGAGGCCTCTTGAGGTGAGTTTATTTCTCACTAGGCTATTAGGACTTAAACTCACCTCATACCTCAAGTTGAACGCATATATGGGATCCATCGTTAAAGATGGTGGGAAAATAGTAAGTTCTTTTCATTTAAGCTGACTCCTCCTGCAATTCTCAAACTCAATAGTGTTGCCATATTTAAGATGGGACTCGCCAGTCTTCACTTTCCAGGCTTGATATAGTTCAAAAGTGTCCGCGTGGCCTTAGGTGTGATCAATTATTTTCGATTCTAAAAACCGTTTTCCAGAGATTAAATACTACAATCCTTTGGCTAATCTATCGCTATTTCCATGGAAAATGTTCTGACGAACAACACTTCTTACTCCACCACCTGTAACCTTCACAACAGAGACCCGCCATGTCAAGTACACTGGGTTCGTATTCCATGGTAAGAAGGTAGTTACACAATATACAAGTCTTAGTAATAAGTAAGACTTGTAGCAGTAAATCATTATTATCTTCCCAAAATTATGGAGAGAGAAGTGGATACAATCTTTTTCCAAGTGTATTTGCATGTAAGTGAATATAACGAACCCAAGTGAAATTCGAACTCGGATCATCGGTCTCTAATTCCGAGTCATTATCCATTACACCCACATTCAAGTTTACAGTACTTACTATTCCCAAGTGGTCACCCATGTAAGTATTGATCAGGGTCGACTATTTTTAAATTCATTGATTGTACGATTGATTGAATCGTTTTCTACGCATTATCAACTCTTTGCAGGTTACTGAGTGTCAAAAAAAAAATATCTTTAGATTTTTAAAAACATTTTGGTGAGCTCAAAAATCAAAAAGTACTGGAATGTTACGTAATATCAGTCCTCCTATATGGCAGTGTATGCTGGACAATATCCTCACAGATGAAAAAGATAGTTTCTACAGTAAGATGCTGAGAATACCACGGAACCAACATGTGAGCAACGGTAAAGTTTTAGAGAAAAGAGAAAGAAATAGGGCACTTACACTTAACATCAGGATGGGGCAGTTGAAATTCCTGCGTCATGTAATGAGCAAAGAGGCCTTGGAAATTTTTATATTTACCAGACAGATTTAGAGAAAACAGCGCATAACAGATACAATGGGCTTGGGTAAATAGCAAAAATACAAAATGAATTAATATCTACAAGGGACAAGAAATTTTTGAGGGCCATGATAGCCTATGTTCTGAATGGACACATCACGGAAAGATTATACACGTTTAACTAATTAATCCATAGATGGGGTATAAGAATTGGATACACAACGTTCGCAATATAACGAACACACCAGGAATTGGTAAGCGGCTATTCGATTAAACATTTTTAGACTTTATCCATTACACTATCCGCACTTGGCATTACCAAGCAAAATCGTTGTTTCAAAGTCATGTGCCTTAAACCGGGAAGGGTAGGAAGAAATGATTAAAAACACCAAGCAATTATAGAATAAAGAGGAAAAAAAATCCAAAGATAACACGAAGTGGTGAAAGATGGAAAAACGTAATGAAAGAAGGAAAGAAGATAGATTAGAAATAAAATAGCGGCAGAAAAGAAAGAATAGAAAGAAAAATGTAGTTATAAAGAAGAATAAAAATATAAAAAAAAGCAGACGATAACAAAAATAAGTATTGAAGAAAGTAATGAAGAAAGCCCGCAACATACAAAAAAAAAAAAAAAAAAAAAAAAAAAACAAAAAAAAACAACAAAAAAAAACAAAAGAAAGGTAAAACCGTATTTAAGTTCTGTATGGTGTGTAAATACGAAAGATGGACAGGCATTTGCGAAGGAATAAAAAAAAAATGGAAGAAAGTATTGGAATTGTTTTGTTTTGTTTTACGGCATATCAACCTCAACTAGTTATTTAATGCCAACAAAATTTTTATTGCTGTAATGATTTTTTTCAAAAATCTATTTCTAGGAATATTTTTCCTTGAAGAAATCTATAGCTGGTCATATTTTTTTCCAAATAATGTATAACTGTTTATATTACTGTTATTTTATAATTTTATATTGCTGATAATATTTTTTCCTTCAAAAATTATTGCTAGTAATAATTTTTTTTTTTTTTATTACAAAGTATTTCTGGTATTAAAAAATATTTTTACCCGTTAGGGCCCCATAGCTGGGGCCCTAACAGGTGCTACCACCCCGGGTGGACCTGGGAACACTAGCAATTAAAATGTGGTTCCACGCTCCTCAAAACCTTCTGATCAGAGGCCTTGCTGTTGGACGTAGTTTATCGTCTTACCCAGGAAGCGGATGTAGTTTATCGTTATACCTAGGACAGAAGAAAGTATTGGATGCAAAGAATAAAAGCAAAAATGCAAGGTGAAGGACGGGAAAAAAAAAACGAAAAAAATAATGAAGATATGGAACAGGCAGAAAAGATAGAATATATACAGAGAATAAAAAGCAGACGATAACAAAAATGGAGCGGGAAAATGTAAGACGAAACCCGCAAGTGGCGAAGAAAGGAAATTATTAAAATTGAAGAGAAGTGTGTTGAGAATACTATGGGTCGAACGTGGGCGAATCGACGAAGTTTTAGGGAAAAAAATTAAACAAAATAGTCTCTTATACATCAAACCAGAAAAAGAGAGTTGAAATTTCAAATAATGAGGAAAGCGAGCTTTGAACATTTAATATGGACAAGGGAAAAGAGCGAGATAAACTATTTAACGAGCTTATGTAATTGGTTAGCAGAACAGTGATACCAAAAAAGACAAAAGTTACTGAGAGCTGCAAAATTCAGGAAGTTGTGGAGAGCCATGACTGCCCAAATCGAGAAGCGACACTTAACATAGAAGTTGGGATGGAACAAAAAAATATAGACAGATATTAACGAAGGAAAGGTAGAAAGAAAATATTAAAGAAGAAAGCGAGTTTTGAAACAACGAGTAAAATGAAGAAGACGAAAAAAAATGAAAGAAAGAATAAAGATAGATGAATTGGGATGCGAGAACAAACAGAAAAAGAATTAAGGAAAATACGATGTTAAAGAAAGAAGAATAAAAACAAACAAAACAGCAGAGGACATCAAAAATAGGACATAGCGAATATAATGAAGGAGAAAGGGGAACAGAGGACAATAGAATAGTCTAGACGAGACGGGTTTAACGAGAAGGAGACAACGTTGTATTTGAGAGGAAGAAAGTGAGAGAGAGAGAGAGAAGTCTAGACTGATGTCAAAACTACCGATCCATGGAATATAATTAAATAAAAATAGAAAATTGAAAACAGTTATAGGAGAAGGAGCAAAATAAAATTATCGAGAAAAATTATTTCAATATCCACCATAAATGGCGGACATCTGTAAATCTACAACTGAATTTGGAGAGAAAAGAATTGTGGGAGTGAATAACTGAAAGGTGGGTGTGAGGTCACGGCAAAGACATTTAAACACAATGACTAAAGGGGGCGTGGAGAGGCGTCTGAAATTAAAACGAGATGGGCATGAAAAATGAAATGAAAGAAAGGCAGAAAGAGAGAAAAAGATGCTATTCTCAACATTTTTGCGGTATTACGTGAGAACAAATGATTGCTTTCTCTTGGATAACTTCCAAATAGCTCTACTTAATATCCATGGGGGAATACGAGCGACACACCTCTTCGGAACGGAACGAAACAGGTCGACAGGAATAGGGATGGCCAGGGATTTCTGGACGCGCGGAATGGAGGGTAAAGGAAAACACCGTTTGCTCGTCGGGTTCCTCACTGGCAGACGGGGATGAAGGTGGCCGAAGGACGTGGAGCGAGACAAAGACTGGATCGCCTCACTTTGCACGTCGACATCGTCCCTCCCGTTTTCGGTTCCCAGCGGGCGAGATAGGGTGAGGGTCGGCGTTTTTTTTACCCGTCTTTTGGAATGCCGGCATATCTCTGACCCACCTTCCTCCGCTGAATTCCATCAGATACTTCCCAGCAACCTCTTTCGCTCTCTCCCTTCTTTTGCCATGCTCCCGAAAATCTCGCTCGTCCTTTCGCGGCTATTACCACTCTTCACCCTAACTCCTTGCCCCGCCTACTCCGATTCATTCGGCCATCTGTCCATCCATCCAACCAGTCGGCCATCAAATGCTAACTTCATTGTGTGATGGATTGAATAAGTGTCAACCGGATGACTCAAGACACTGACGTCATTTCCTTTTGTGTCTTCACATGCGCACCCAACTGGATAGCAGTGATTGTACATCGTTGGTGGTATGTGTTCACTCGCTTCTCTCTCCCTGTGTGCATGCGTGTGCGCGTGCGCGTGCGCGTGCGTGTGCGCGTGCGTGTGTGCGCCAGCCCACTTAGAGGAACCGTGGAGTTCTTAAATGGCTGTGTAAAGGAAAATCGGAACCAGCAAACTGAGTTCGAATCCCGCAAGGGGCTTCATTGTTTTGGTTGATTTTGTTTAACGGCATATCAATCTTTATGTGTCATTTAATGCCGAAATCTAAATATTTTGAACGCAATTTTCTCCATTAAACTACAGATATTTTCTTCATAATTTCATGCTTTCAGGATAAGCGTATGTTTCTTTTTAGATACATAGTTTACAGAGAGGTGGAATAATGGATAGCGGCTCGGACTGAGAAATCGCAGAGCTGAATTCAGATTCCAGACGAAACAATTATTTTCACTTACGTGCTAATACCCTTGGGAAAGGTATGAATCGTCTTTTCTCCCCCAACTATGTGTAAATAGCAGGACAGACCGGATTCTATAGCCTTGGATGGCAACTGCTCTACCGCAGAAAGAAAAGATATCCAACTGAGGGAAAAATCTGCTTCGTCAGTCATGTATCGAAAGATGCATCGACTAAGCGTAAGATCATCTGACTGAATTTGCAGACGATAAAATATATTATTGGTAAATTCTTTTAAATTTACTTTTTAAATTTTACTACAACCATGTATTGTTAAATTTTTAAAAAATATGTTGCTGATAATTTTACCATAAAGATGTATTTTTATGCTTTTTATTAGTGTTGCATTGTTGGACATTTTTCTATAACAATATACTTTTTATTTGGAGGGGGATTCACTATTTGCCCATAGTTAAGACCCTAACAGGTACTACCACCCGGGCCAGTGTGGAACAACAACTGTTAAGAGGTAGTTCTGTGCTCCTCACAACCTCCAATCTACTGGTCAAATGCTTTGCTGCCAGACGTAGTTTATCGTCATACACAGGACAGCCGCACTAGACTTGATTTTCCCACGTAGCAATTCTTTCATCTGCGACATAAATCATTTTTCCTTCGGTTATTTTCCATCTCCAGATACGTCGTCATTGGCCTGACACGGTGATTTCACCCCAAGCAAGCCGATAATACAGCTAAGACACAAGGGTTTACTGGGAGCGAAATACGAGAAGATTTTAGGGAGGAACCGGAAACCCAATCCTAACCAAGAATAAAGTAATAAAACTCTATTCGTGGTCAAAAAAAATCTAGGAGTGTTAATTGGTTTGCGAGAGAAATATATGTATGCGTACTTGTTCAATATCTCTGTGAAATCTTGGGACTAGCATTAAAATGCTGATACCTTCATATTCAACCTTGACAGTTCAGTCATATGTATTTATGGCTTTGTATGCTGCGTTTGTATATGCATGTGTTCGAATGAATATTTTTTATCCTATAATGTGTTAATAAATGTAACCACTGAATGTTTGATTCTTATGGGAAATTTCAAAGAGAGAAGTCATGCGTACAGGAATAGCTGTTTGCTATATAGGAATGAATTGTCGCTACCGACACTGGAGTTTGAAAATAGATTGCCAGTGAGCAAGCACAGGTGGTCCCATTTTGAATTAGTAAGTCACGTGATGGTGGCGTCTAAGTGATCATTATCCGAATTACTTCGGAGGTGTGCTTGTCAAATTCTCTGACTCCGAGTAGAGAGGATGTCCAGTCGTAGCTACGTCGATGGGTAGAGTCTCGTCTGGGGTATAGACAACTACACGACCCCGTTTTTACGGGCTCTACGGGGAATTTTTGCCCAAGCCTACGGGCTCGGATACCCCACAATAAACTCGGTCTTGTGCCACATCCGACCACGTGGGGCAGTTAGTGAATATCATTATTATCCGAATTACTTCGGAGGTGTGCTTGTCAAACTCTCTACCCCCGGGCAGAGAGGAACACAGATAGATAGATACGGATATATATGACAATGTGGAAAAAACCATTATTTGTGTAAAAAAATCAGACGCACATAAAGCCAATTAGGGATTCCATGTAATAGAAAATACGTTTATTTACAAAATCAAAACGTGTTAGAAAATATAAATCCTGACTAATGACTACACAGCTCCTGGTGTTTTGAAGCACATTTAAAATATTTATCAGGCTCACTTTAAGACCTAAGCGCTTTTGAGAATCGTTGCTTTAATTCATCTCTTTTTAATTCTCTGTCTCTCCGTCTCTGTCTCTCTCTTTCTCTGTCTCTCTGTCTCTCTCTCTGTCTCTCTGTCTCTGTCTCTCTCTCTCTCTCTCTCTCTCTCTATATATATATATATATATATATATATATATATAAAAAGTGAACATAGAAGTCAACACTTAGAGGCGACAGTCTGTTTCATGCTAGATGCAATCGTGGCCTGACGATTGCATTTAGCATGAAATATATATATATATATATATATATATATATATATATATGACGCGCACACACATATATGTGTGTGTGTGTGTGTGCGTGTATGTGTGTGCGTGTCCGACTAATTTCTGGCGTTTTTATACCGTTGATGTTGGAATTGGCATTATTTCAAAATGACGTCCTTTGTAAAACTTTAAAAAAAATACTAAATAAAAAAATACAATGAACGTATGGCATAAAAGTATGTTAATAGGAATTTCTACAGTGTTAAACTCAATTAACCGAAGTATAGGATGTGATTTTGTATCGTAACGTGTATCGGGACGAAATGTGGAATATATGTTCCAGTTTCAAAATCCGTTTCTTCTGTTCAATTTTGTACAAATACATTTGAGAAAGATTTGGTTCCAATCTTCTCTCCCCGGCTATGGCTTAAATGGCAGGGGAATCTTGACACTGGAGACTTATTTGTCAACCATTCTTTGAGTGGAAACATTATGAATTCAAAACTTGTTGGATGTAGAGCTGGCAAAAACCTATTTTTACTTTTCCGGGCAGATGAAGCTAATCAAATCGGGAAGACATCCCACCTGGCGGAAGAAAAATCATGATTTTAAATCGCTGCTGGCTTAGAGTCATATAAAAACTAGGGAAAGACTATAGAAAGAAATCCTGTGTGAAACCCCGTAGGATTGGCTGTCGACCTTCCGAACTGTAGCCGAGCCAGCTCCACATGTAATGCGCTGTATTCATTTGGATCTCGTCGTTACGACCGAGAGGTTTCTAGTGCGATGTGGGCAGCATACGGTCTACATATGCCGTCTTATTCTCCACACTTAATGATTGAATTTCGACCAAACTGGACGCTAAATATATCTCCCAAAATAAACGGATGCCTACTACTCTTCCGGAAAACACAGAAGTGACACCTAGCATGTTGAGTCTATGACCATAATCTCCACTTGGGAGACTAACTGCGCTACGAAGAAGCAGGAGGAGCCCATGTCCACACATTGGTGGAGAGATCGGTAGCGATTCAGTTAGTAACATCAATTCGAGAACGTAGCACGTGAAACAGCAGATGTGAAGAATATTGTCTGGAGTATGGTAGACGATCCGCTGAGAGAAATGGGGTGACAGAGTTTAATTAAATGCATTTCCACAATCTAACCTCTTAATTTATTAAACTGATTGAAGATCAGCACTTCCGTCGTTATTTCAATGATTACTTGATTGATAAGTTTTCTACGGCTTGTCAAACGTTTGATGGTTATTTAAAGCCAGAAGATATTTTTAGATTGTACGAATAATTTTTGAGAGATAATAATGATTTAGTGATATAAGTCTTAATAATTAACTCATAGCCGGGGGGGGATAATTCATACATTACCCAAGGGTATTTAAGCGTAAGTTATGTGAAAACCAAAGTTAATGAACGTCGAGCCCTGTCAGTACCTAAATGGGTGATCGCTTGGGAATACCGAATGCTGTAAGTTTGGGTGTGCGGATGGTGTAATCAATAATGGTTCGAAATTGTTAAACGGAGCGCCGAGTTCTAATTCCCGTTGGGTTCTTTGTATTCACTTATGCACAAATACACTTGAGAAAGGTATAAATCCAACTCTTTCTCGCATAGCTAGGAGTTAATTAGTAAGATATGTATCCCTAAACATTGCAAAAAATCTCACAATCTAAAAGAAATATTTGTGGCTTTAAATAACCTGCGGAAGGGTTGATTAGCCGTAAAAATGATTGAATGAATCAGTCAAAGATATTTGTTTATAAACGTCATATTTGATACTATACTTACGCATTGATATCTGTGTACAAAACATTTTTTTATTTTACAAATATGTAAAATAAATTTAAAACGGATGTGTACCGTTTTATATCTTTTATTAAAAAGAATAACACATTTCATGAGGCAATTGCAGTTGTTTGGCGAAAGGGATATTTTTTAATTGATTTTTTTGTCATTAAATACCATCAATAAATATATCAATAGTCTTGCAATCTTTAACTTTAATACCCGCAATTAAACGGCGTAGCATAAGGATATTTCTCTTGACACCGCTATAATTTTAACTCCCTACAATCCCACGGAAATGTTTGGTGTTTTAAAAAGCGATGATAAGACTTTTTTATAAAACCCAAACAGATGAAAGTAAGTTCATACATTTTCTATGTTCTTTGAGAATTTACAACGAAAAAACTTAGCCACTATTTAATTTTTAGATTGTTTATCTAGAAGAATAATTTTATATTTACAACATTCTAAAAAGGCTAACCAACTAATGCAATGCGATGTTTATCATTTATTAATTTTTTTAAATAAGTAGATAGGATCATAATTTTTAATTCTTAAATTAAAAAAAAAATGTCTGTGATGAAGAAACAAATTTTGTTTTATAATTTATTGTTATATTTATATAACTATAAAAAACTTGTTTTCATAGTTATTTATAAATTGGTAAATAATAAATATTGCATTATAAATGATTTATATATTTTGATAATTTTGTAATTTAAAAAAAAATATTATCCATGGATTTCTCTTCTCATTTAATTCTGTATAAAATGAAAATAATGAATATCACAGGAGTGAAGGTAATATAAAATAATATCGTTGTCAATGAAAAAAAAAACTGTTTTTTTTTACACCGTTTTTTTCCAGGAACAAAGGTTAATGATTTAATATTTTAAACAGGCAATTGTTTGTCAGGTGAAACTTTTACTCTTTGATTTTTTTTTAAACAGATTCGTTTTAATTAAAGGACACATAAATCTACACATGTTTTCATTAATGAAGATTTACATAACTTAACAAAAGTATACAAATATGTAAAAATCAATGACGTAAGCATATCTTGATGACATGATATTTGTAAATAAACACATCCACCTGATCAGAGAGATCGATTTGACACTATCGATATTATGATCAGGACCCCGCGTCTAAATTAAACAAATCAACATTTTTCCGTTTTCACAAATATTGTGGCTTGTCGAAGCTCTAATGAAAGCTGATATAGAAAAAATTTTCCCACTTTTTTTTTAACAAGTGGAGCGGCCTGCTTAATTTGTCACGATCACGAGTCTAGTAACTCATTAGAATTTTTTTTTTAAGCATTTCACCCCAAGCAAGGCGGGAAGCCACAAGGACGCAAGGGGTTACAGAAAATTTAGAGCAAGATCAGATAGGAGTGATAGAAGAAAGGATGAGGGTAGTGGATAGATCAAGGCAACTGGAGATGTCGATTGACATTACACTTGAATAGCTGGAGATTATAGCTCACAGGGAAACAGGAATAGGGAAGGGAGTTCCACAGGCGAGAGGTGCAAGACATGAAGCTATTAGAGTAGAAGAGACGGCTACATTTAGGAGTTTCGACAGTGAAGGGGTGAGAGCGGGATGCCAGCCTCGTAGGGCGCTTGAACACATGAAGTCTGGGAACCAGCGAATGCAGCTTCTCGGAGCAATAATCACATGTATCGGGCAAGATAACCTGACGGAGATTAACCTCGTGCGGGCTTGTTTCAATTCACAGTTTTGCTTCTCATAGACCGGTTGCCACACAAGTCTATCATCTATCCTGCTATTTACTCATAGCTGGATGGGGGGGGGAGATATGGATTCATACGTTTCCAAAGGGTATTAACATGTAAGTGAATTGAATGAACTCAACTGGGATTCGAACTCGTATCTCCGAATCTTCAATCCGAGCAGAAATCTATTACTCTCATCTTGCGGTGCGGCCTCAGCCGAGATTGAACTCACTACACCTTTCCAGTATTCCTTATCTGTCATAGCTAATACTTTGATTGGTGTAGTTCATAATCTTGTCAAATAGCTGAATTCTTGATGCTTCGCTAGGGCTATCAAGGGTGCTTTTATCGTGACACCATCACTAAATGGATTGCCAACCAAGGCTCAGAGAGACTGCATTCTCCTCCGCAGGTTTTGAATTCAGAGATTTCCTTCTCCTAGACCAGTTGCCATCCAAGGCAACTGGTCTAGGAGAAGAAAAACCCAGTCTGTCCTGCTATTTACCCATAGCTGGAGGGAGAAGAAGAGGATTCACACCTTTCCCAATGGTATTACCACGTAAGTGAATGTAATGGATTCAACTGGAATTCGAACTCGGCTCTCTGATTCCTCAAACCAAGCCGCTATCCGTTACTCTACCGTACCTACTGATTTTAGCGTTTAAGTAGCCGCTGCATCAAGCTTAGGGAGGGACTGCTGTATTTGATATTCTAACCCTTTTTCAAGGATGCGGTGGTGTGGGGATAATAAATACACATTTATTTTACCCGCAAAACTGTCCCCATATAAAATAAGTGATATAAATTTGCCAAATATAAACAACCAATATATTCGCCAATATTCTTTGTGAGGAGGGTCTTCTTGCTTGGAAAATCAACTTTCGGAATGTTGGCTTGGAAATTCAACTACTGACACAGGTGTTAAATATTGAAATATCTCATGCACCCAGAAGACCACAGGCAGACAGGCCGGCAGAGAGGCAGCCGAAGAGACAAACAGGCACGCATGCGCGTCATATGTGCATCTGAACAGATTTATGTGTCCCTGTGAACGAGAATGCATTGCTTGTGGAAATGCGTCAGAAAGCGAAATTAGGGTGAGGGAGAGAGGGAGAGAGAGAAAATGATAGGCAAAGAAGTGAAAGAGAGAAGTAAACAGAAAAGAAAAGCCTAAAGTATTGAGAGAGAAGGAAGAAGAGAAAAATAAATAAAAACAAAAACAAAGTAAGACAAAAGAAGAAATAAAGTAAAATCGACAAAAAGTGTAAAGAAAATACAATGAGAAATAGAAAGAAAATGAGATAAAGAAAGAAAGAAAGAAAGAAAGAGAGCAAAAGAACTATAAACAGAAAAGAAAGGGAATGAAAGTGAAAAAGAAACCGAAATAAAAATGGTTGGAAAGAAAAAGAGAGAAAGAGAAGAAAGAAAAATCTGAAGAGAGAAAAGGAAACAGAGGATCAAAAAGGGGTTAATGAGAGATAAAGATAACAGTGAAGAATTAAAAACACAGAGCGAAGAATGAAAAAGAGTTAAAAAGAAAAAAAAAGAAAGGTAAAGCAAAAGACTGAGAAAGTGAAAAAAAGAAAAGAAAAAAACAAGTTAGAAAGAGAGGGAAAAATAAATACAAAGACAAAAATGAAAGAAAGACAAAAAAAAGAAAGTAACATTAAAAGAAGAGAAGAAAATTACAAGAAGAGAGTAAATCTAAAAGTTAAAGAAAGAAAGAAAGAAAGAAAGAAGACAAAAGGAAAGAAAAAAGTGGTATTACTTACTGTTCTTGCATGAATTCCCGGATGTATGTCCGGTTTAAGAAATAGATTAGAAATATTTACAATTGGTTCGTCATTTTTGACTTTGAGAATTTAACCACACTATCCTGAATTTTATAGCATATTCTTGCACCCTGTGGCTAAACATTTTCACAAACCAACAACACCTTCTCCAAGACCAGCAAATCCCAATAACGCATCTTTTTTTAAAATCCTTATTCTATTCACCAGAGAATTCAAACTACCATAAAATCGATCACATCTTCATCACGGTTAAACCAAACAATACCGCCATCAGCAACAAAACTATCTTCAATCTTAAGAGCTGTGTCATATCTGAGGCGTTATAACAAATTTGTAAACGTATAGAGGGGCCATCGCCTAGCTTCCCACTGACCGGCTAGTTACTACCCCACGTTGCATCTCCAATCACGTTCGGGTCAACAGTTTGAACCCCAAACCCGGAAAGGCCCGCTACAAGCACACAAGGAAAGGAAATGTAAAAGTTTGAGAACACAAAAGCTGTTTGTAATCGTTGTAATCTACGGAAGGTTACTGAATAGATATCTACCCCCCCACGCGGTCAGATGTGGCATGAGGCCAGATTTAATGTGGAGTATCCGTGCCCGTAGGCTCGGCAAAAATTCCCCGTAGATTCCGTATAAAACGGGATCGGGTAGCTGTTTCCAGAGACCAGGCTCGGCCCTTCGACATAGTCTCGTCTGGGAATCCTCTATGCCCGGAAGCAGAGAATTTGAACAGCACAGCTGGAGAAGAATCTCCAACTGCAGGATATCTACCAACCGCCCGACGCGGCCAGACATGGCACAAGGCCGAATTTAATTTTGGGTATCCGAGCCCGTATGCTTGGCCAAAAATTCCCCGTAGACCCCGTATAAAACGGGGTCGGGTAGCTGTTTCCTGAGACGAGCCACTGTGCTTCGACATAGCCACGTCTGAGGATCCTCTCTGCTATGAGACAGTGAGATTGTCCAGCACAACTGGAGACGAATCTCCAACTGCTGACCGACATACAGTATTTACTACTGTATTTATGTGAATGGGGATATGCCCATTATCGTCCGTAGGTATGCAACAACAGTAATATATATATTTGTGGACATATATATATATATATATATATATATATATATATATATATATATATATATATATATGTATGTATGTATATAAATAAAAAGAAAGAACAGTAAGATATAAAATCCGGTGTTCTTATAGATATTTTTATTTTTACAAAATAGTGCTCAATGGCAATTTACAGAGCATTAATGTTATAAATTAATTGATTTAAAATATGTTTTTTTCCGCTACACCGTTCTAACAATGTTTGAAAAATAGAATCTAAAAGCCCCGAATTTATTTTGCAATTAAATTAAAAGCATTAGTTCCATTTCATCTTCAAGCGAATTTTGGAGTAACGTTTAAAAGTAACTTTTAAAACCCAGTAATGTTTTAAAAAGTTACTCCAAAATTCGCTTGAGTATGAAATGGAACTCATGTTTTTAATTTAATTGCAAAATTAAATTCGGGGCTTTCAGATTCTATTTTTGAAACATGGTTAGAACTGTGTATGGAAAAACATATTTTAAATTATAATATATATATATATATATATATATATATATATATATATATATATATAATATATATATATATATATATATATATATATATATATATATATATATATATATATATATATATATATATATATATATATATATATATATATATATATATATATATATATATATATATATATATATATATATATATATATATATATATATATATATATATAGACAGATGTCATGTCGAACTAACAGATCAGCTCTTCCGTCCGCCTTTTCCACTTATCAACATATTGTCTAGTTGAATATCACGGCGCAACACGTATGAGTGCCATTGGAATGACCAGAAATAGTCTGATTCATGCAACGATGGGCATGAATTGATTACTTTTACCCCAACAGTGACTCTTAACATAAACCCGCTACAGAAAATCAGACATTTTTGGTTTGTTGTCGCTTGACTATTAACATGTTCATTTTCTTTATTTATTCTTACATTCCGATTCGTTCAAGGGAGGTAATTATGTTTCTTTACTACTGGTATTCCACACAGTTAATCTCTTCGGCCCGACTCATTTTCTACAGTGTAGATCTACATAAGAGCATACTCCAGTCATTAGTGAGTAACTATGGATTACAGCTATATCACGTTTTTAGACACTGTTCCCATAGGGTCACCGATGTTAAGCAATGTTGGGCCTGGTAGGTACCCAGTTGGGTGACCACTTTCAATACCAGTTTCTATAACTTGGATGCGCGGTGGTGTAATGGATAATAGTACGGAATTGTTAATCGGAGAACCGAGTTCTAATTTCAGTTTTGTTAGTTACATTCATTTATGCAATTTGGTAAAGGTATGCATTCACTTCTTCTCCCCTAGCTATGGGTTAATTAGTAAGATTTGGATCGTTAAATTATAATTATCTCTAAAACAATTCTTACAATCTAATAATATTTTCTGGTGTGGGGAGAAGAAGTGGAATGGTCGCTGCGCAGATGAGGACTTGACGAGTCTTCTTTTTATGTCTCAGTTGCCTGCCAATAACTCTTTCCGTATGATCTTACAGTCTGCTCAGTATGGCTACCAGCTGTTTTTTTTTTCTCTGTCTGTGTCTTTTGTCGAAGATGGTAGCGTCTAAGTTGCTCGTGGAACAATTATTGACTCTTATAATGTGGTCATATCATTTCAAATGTCTCTTTTTGACAGTGTCTATGAGGTATACCAATGGGCTTATTTCATGTTTAGTGGTGTCTCGCACGGCGTCAATTCTGATGCGATGTACGTAGATGATGTCTAGGATGCTTCGGTTGTATCTCATACTAATGCTTGGATTATTCCCTATATATTAATGTTCTTAATGTCTAAGATTTACAGACACATACAAAAATTGAATATAACAATGAAAGCCACTGTTATTTCAAGCACGCGTTATTTTTTTTTCTTTTACAGACATTTCTTAGTTTTGCGACAGATGTCAGTAGTTGTGTTGCTCTTGAAATTATTTCCAGTCTTGTATCAACTTTCCCGGAATTTGAACAAATTTCTTTGTATTGTCTCAGTATTTTAAGTTTCTGACCATCGACTTTTGTCTTGTTTGAAAGCAATTTCCTGTTGATGAACATGAGTATTTTTTTTGCATTTTCGGATAGATGGAGCTCGATAGCCCGGGAAGGCCGTACATATAGGGGAAGGAAAACCCTAATTTTAAGCCTCCGCTGTCTTGCGGTCATATCCAAACACGGAAAACTCTATGGATATAAATCCAGACAGAAAACCCTGATTGGAGTCCTGAAGGAGTTTGGCTGTCAACGACGACAACTTTCCGTACTCAAATACGATGCTCTTTAGTCATTTGCATCTAGTCGGGGGGGCGAGTTCGGGAGGACATGTATTCTGGGCAGCGCACGGCCTCTATATACTATTGTCCAGTCTTGAGCCCTAGATCGGTTACTCCAGTTTCACCACTGAATTTTAACCTAACAGAGCGCTACCTTTATCTCTCCAGATAAATGGATGTCTACTAATCTCCATATCATATCTGGGGGACGTTTCATACAGGTTTATCATTAGACTTGGTTCCTCTTCTTTGCCAGTCCGATAATCTATGTTGTCTACAAAACGATGCTTTTTGATGTTGCGACATCCGATCCTAACTGTTCCCTGGTGTCCGTCAAGGGCGTCATTCATGATGCGTTCAAGGAAGATATCAAAGCGGGACTGAAGACAGGAGACAGCCTTGACGTAAACCGTCTGGTTTGTGGAACCGCATTCCTATGGGACCCTGGAACATTACTACGCTGCTTGCATTATCATCGAACTGTTTGTTCAGTATGGATCACCTTCTTACCCATGTTAAATGTATGCATTAATTATATAAATTTTGTGAATTCATGAATGAGTAACGCTATCTGGAATGGTGTGAGGCATGTGATGACGCCATCAACAATATTGTTTTACTTAAAAAAATATCTCAATCTTCTTAGAGGCTTCTTTTTAGGCATGGTCTGTCTTTTCGACATAAATGGAAGAAAATAAATAAATCAATTAAATTATATCATTTTCATATTTGGATCTTATTAAACATCATATGGTAACTAGTATTTTCCAAATATATTGGCAGAGATAAAATAAATAATGCTATTTCATAGTAAAATTGAACTAAAACAAATAAGTTTATTACGTTATTGAAAAAGTAATCTTACATGGAAATAAATTCATCCTTTGACCCCCCCCCCCAAAAAAAAAAACAAATTCGAAACACATTTACAGTCAAAGAAGAACGTAAGAAAACTGCCTACGTCTGTGACGAACGCAGCATTACGAGTGGCGTATTCACGCGTCTAAATTTTGTCTTCAGTGAGCGCGCCTTTTCACAACAGAAAAAAAACATTACGTTATATTCGGCTTACCGTACCTTGAAAATGGCGGTCATAGATACGTGATTATTTTTTTAACGAAAAGGATTGTAGCGAGGATTTCTTTAAAATAGTTAAAAAAATATATATATATACTATACTGGTTTGATGAGACCGCAATATTTTTTCCCAAAAGAAATTATATTTGTGCATCTTTGATAGTTCGACATTAAACAATCTACAAAAGAAAAAAAAATCATATTTTACTTTCCTTTTTTCTAACGTAATTTTTGCTGCCAATGTTATTTGTTCACATATATTGCTTGTAATTCTCGTCAGAGCATACATAATGTCACGGTCCACTCAAAAAAAAAAAAAAAAAAAACTTCTTTCAACTTATCGCAATTTAAAATATATATATATATATATATATATATATATATATATATATATACACACACACACATATATATATATATATATATATATATATATATATATATATATATATATATATATATATCTTTTCATAAAAATAATATCAGATTCCTAACTTATTGATAGGAAAAATGAGATAAAAAACGAATTAAGAATAAATTATATCTTTGAAAGCAGACAGTAAAAATCAAAATGGCGCGGAAGAGACATTTGAAAATCAAAAGAAACTTTAATATCTTTTTCCTTCGCATCTGTCTTCAAGTGTGAGTACAAGTATGCATTTCGTTTAAGGTGACGGCGATTTTAAAGAAAGTTATTTTTTTTTATAAAGCACTAATTGTAAACTTCCGTATTTCTTAAAATTTCCTCCGTGTCCGCCTGATTCTTCTATTTATATTTGTATGTATGAATGCTTTGACTACTTTTATTTTGAATTTGTGTTACATTAATTTTCCCCTCTCTTTCATTCTACCTTTTTTTTTTCTTTCTATTTTAGATTTGATTCCCTTAAGTCTCTTGCTTTACTTTGTTTATCTTTGTTTTCTTTCATTGTTTTTTTAATATTTTATTCCATTAATTTTCCTTTTTTTTTCTTCGTTCTTGATTTCTTTCTTTTTCTGTCATTTTTTTCTTTATCTTCTACTTTAGATTTGATTCAGTTGATTTTTTTGCTCACCTTCTTTTCTTCGTTGATGCTTTCTTTCTTCTATTGCCGTTTTATATATATATATATTATTCCCTTAATTTTCTTCTCTTTTTCTTCGTTCACGCTTGTTTTTTTTTTCTTTCGTTCTTTTCTTTTTCTGTCGTTTTTCTTTCTTCTTTTCTATTTTAGATTTTATTCCATTGATTTTCTTGCTATCCGTTTTTTCTTTTTTTTTCCTTCTTTTCTCTCTTTCTGTTGACTTTTCTTGTCTTTTTATATTTTATTCCATTGAATCTTTTACTCTCCTAACTTTTTCATGATTTCTTTCTTTCTTTTTTCTTTCTTTGTTTTTTTTTAAATATTTTGTTACCTTGTAATTTTTGTTCTTTGTTCATGATTTTTTAGTCTTTTCTTTCTGTCTTACTTTTTACGTTCATTTTATATTTCATTCGTTTGATTCTTTTTTTGTTTTCCTTTTTATTCTTTCAAACTTTTTTCTTTTTCTTTCTTTGATTTTTTTTAGATTTTATTCCCTTAAAATTTTTCTTCTTCGTTTTTCCTTCATGTTCTCTCTTCTGTCTGTCTTACTTGTTCTTTCTTTTGGTTTCTTTCTTTTTTTTTGTCTGTCTTACAATTTTTACATGTTTACTATTTTAAATTTTATTCCATTAATTTTCTTGGAATTTTTTTTATTCTTTCAACCTTCTTTTTCTTTCTTTCTTCCTTCCTTTCTTTCTTTCTTTCTTTCTTTCTTTTTTCATTCACAAATTCATAAATTAATCTATTCTTCTTTTATACTAATCTTTAATTCGGTTATTCTTTAAGATTTATTGAAACATCTCTTTTATTTTTAATTTAATACCGTTCTTACTTGATATAACCGTCTTTATTTTTCTTTTTTCTTTCTTTTTCTTAGTTTCCTTTTTTATTTTTCCCTATTCTTTTTCTTTCTTTACTTTTTTTCCACTTCTTTCGTTCTCCTCGGTCTTCATCCTTTCGATTCTACATTTCTCTCTTTCATTATTTCTTTTCGTTCTATCTTACTTTTTTCTGTTTCTACGATCCGTATTTCAGAAAACTGTCAATTATTCGGTTTCTTTTTTATTTATGCTTTTCGTTTTTCATTTAAGATTTATCGAAATCTTTCTTAATCTTTTCCAATTCGTTAATTTCATTTTTACTTTAATTTTTCTTCCTTCCTCCGTTCTTTGCAAATATATTGCGTTCCTTTTCTTCTTTTATACATTCTCTTTTTATTATTCTCTCTCATTTTGTTTATTGTTTTAATATATATATATATATATATATATATATATATATATATATTATATATATATATATATATATATATACTATTATTATTATTATTATTATTACCCTTTTCCTGTGTAGTGCTAATATTTTTCCTCTTTCTTAACTTCATATAAATCACTGTCAGCCCATTTCCGGCCAGTTCCACCTCTTCTCTGATTTTCAGCAATGCCTTATGTGTCTTTCGTTCATTATATCCACTATACAAACTTTCCAATGAAAAAAAACCTTCAAACTCACACATCTACAGTTTTGTGTAAACAAAAAAAAAAACATGGCTTCCAATTTACAGCAATATATTTACAATTGTGAGAAATTATAATGCATTTACTTGTGCTTTTTTCTGTACATGAATTTCTTTTCCATTTATCATGATTCAATTTTTCTTTGCCTCGAGTAATTGTTTTTACGACTTTGTTTTTACATCATCCAAAGCTTTCATTTTCAGTACTAATTTCTCTACAACCGTATACACACGAAAAAAATTACATTACGAAATATATTCCAAAAAGCATCATTTATGAGGTCTATTTTCTTCACACTTTTATCAATAAACAATCAAACGAAGCTATTTTCTTTTTGTATTTCTTAACAAATATACTCAAAGAAAAGAAAGAAAAATCTTGAAATGTCTTCCAAACTTAAAGGTGTCATTGTTATTGCGCATCAGTACGATATGTAAGTATATGTATTTAATGTTCAAGATACTGAAAAATAACTTCATTTGCACACACGGATTTATATTTAAAAAAAAAAACGTCACACTGTGTTTGAAATTTTGTTACGAAACTGATGTACTCGTTTCGTGATATTTGTAGACGTTTAGTGTTTGTATCATATTGGCTTTACCATATTTTTCATTTAAATCAAGCTAAAAAGCAACATAATTATAAAAACCTATATATCTTCAAAAATTTACACATTAATTGCCTAAATTCAAAACAAAATTAACATACAGTGTTCGACTTCGAGACATAATTCATATATATATATATATATATATATATATATATAATGGATAAAGAGAAAAGTAAGATATATAATCCGGTGTTCTTTTTAATATGTTTTATTTTTACAAAACATTCCACTCAAAGAAAATCTACAGAGCATAAATATTATAAATTTACTCGTGAAAATTATGGTTCCATCGATACACAGGAATTACCATGTTTCAAAAACAGAAGATAAATCTTCAAATTCAATTATGGAATTAAATTAAAGTCCCTAGTTTTGTTTCATTTTCAAGCGAATTTTGAAATAACTTATTTTGAAATTTACTGAGTTTTGTAAGCACATATATTCATAATATTTGTTTCTATGGATATAGGTAAATTCAATAAAATTAGGAATAACGTTTTAAAATTGTAGTTCAATACGACCTATTCATATACAAACAGCCCTTTTAGAAAAAATCATTATGTATACAAGTACAAATTTAACGGCGAATCAAAAGTGCCGAAAAATTTTTGTCGTTGAAAAAGACCAGACGACATGAGTTGAACAGATGTCATCATTCGTTTGAAAAGGCACTCCTACCCTACTTTGACTTAACCTCTTTTCGAAAGTAACTAATATTTTGATACAATAGTTGTCAGTGAAATAGAATACCCTACCGCCCCTGGTTAAAATGAGAGGATTTTCCCCGTATCCATAGAAACTAATATTAGTTATAAACACTATGCCATCTCCATAGCTTATAACGCTAAGATATAGAGTTCTCTCTGAATTGTCTCACTTTAAAGGTTGAATAAGTCCGGTGAGAAGACACATCCTTGTCTTTTTTTCCGCATTTACTAAATTCATTTAACGTGCAAGTAACTTCAACTGCTTCTTTCTGATTCCGAGTACATGTATTCTTTTTGTTCCTATTTTTCTTTCTTGTAGCAGGCATCGTTCTGCAAAAATATGTCTTTGGTACCGCAAATCTCTTTTACATCTGTGAGGAAATTGCCCAACATTCTTTTCTATGTAAAGGGCGATATCACAGAGCAGTTCCTTTTTCTTTGGGCCCGCCGAATTCAAACAAGTATAGAAATTTAAGCATGTGACACAGAAATAAGGATGACCATTGGTATAGCGAAAGTTGCCTTCGAAAGGCTAAACAAACTATTAAGAAACAGGAAAAATTCATTCGAAAAATTAGAAACAAATATATATTTTTCTATTTGGCCTCCCCTTTCCAGACTTTGACAAGTTTAACAATGACACCTTTTGACAACTTTGACAATTTCCAATGCTTTTTTTTTTTTGTATTTTTGTGATCTCTCCTAAATTTTGATCGGCCCTCAATTTACACGCAGGACATTAAAATTCCTCGCTAGGTAGCAACTTCTTCTTCTTCTTTTTTCTTCTTCTTCTTCTTCTTCTTCTTCTTCTTCTTCTTCTATATGACGTGTGTTTTTAGATCGTTAGCGATCATGGCTCTCCAAACTTTCCTATCATTTATAATTCTTTAATAAATTTGGTCTATTTTGTCTCCTCAAAGTCTTGTTCCACCATCCATTTACTGTAGCTCGTTAGGTTGGTTATGTGCTATTTTCCTCTGATCAGCTTGCCTTCAATCTATCCTGTGAGCATCAAATTTTCCAAGCCCTCTCTCTTTTTTATGTGCCCTAGAAATTTCAACTGTTTTCTTCCTGATGTTAAGAATAAGTATCCATTTTATTTCCCTTTCTCTTAATCTTGACCGTTGCTCACATGTTCGGTTCATGGCATTCCCAGCATATTTCTGTAAAAACACTTTCTGTTGCTTCAACTATTTTTTTTTATCTGTGAGGAGATTTTCCAGCATGCACTACTTTTTAAGACAACTGATTCTACGTAACAGTTCAGTACTCTCTTTTTCTTTGTTTCTAACGAAACTGTTCTGTTTTTTAAGGTAGTTAATTCTATGTTTCTACTCATCACTTGTGGACTTGTGTTAGATTAATTAAATAAGAGTACGTTTAAGTATATGAAAAGATTGCGTTTTTTTAATGTCCTGCGTGTTGATGAAAAGTGTGAGATAACAGGTTTCTTTTAATTATTGTTAAAATTTATATTCAGCAAAATCAAAGGCAAGAATTCAAAATGAAATTAGATAATTTATCAGCAGCAAATTTCTTCGTATGTAATTAAAAGTTATATATTTTCATGAAAAAAATAGAAATCTGACGAAATCTAGGTAAGCTTAGTAATTACAGCTGGTGAAACGTTCTAAGTTAAATACTTCGGCGAATTAATTACATTTTACACAGAGTAATTACGGTTTAATATAAAGAAAAGTTGGATTTTAATTATCACCTGAATTTTTATGACACATAGGTCTTCATCATTCGACAGATATATATATATTTCATCTTTTCCTTTCATTAAAGGATTTCTTGGTATCGAATACACGATAATAGCTACGCAAAAATCATATGATTCAAAATAAATAACTTGGTGAAGTGGGTTTGATTCCCGTCACCTCAATGCCAAACTGCAATGTGCACCATTTCTCCGTTCCCATTTCATCCGGGAAGTTTCACTGTCTCTTAAGCTGATCGGTCAGTTATTTCTCATTCAGTCAGCTATTTGCCATGCGTGATACATGACTGCAATAGTCTGCCATTTCTTTCTGCGGTTGTCATCCAAGAAACCATCTGTCCTGATATTTACCCAGAGAACATCAGGATTCATATATTTCGCAAGGTTATTAGCACGTATGTGAATGTAATGGATTTGACTGGATTCGAACTCGTCTTCTCCGATTCCTCAATCCATTACTCCACTGTATCTCCTATAACACTTCTACTTAATCTATAAAACATAAACATGTTGCATTCGTATTGCCCTTTTTGATATGTTTTATAGGGTCTAAAATTTTAGATTTTGCTTTATAGGATTCATTAATTATTATTCGAATTGCTCTGTAATTTTGAAATATTTGGGAAGGATATTAGAATAACCCAGAAATGAAACTGGAAGAGAAACTACTGCGTACGAATAGAAAATAAAATCAGGAAATATAAAAAATAGAAAGGAGAGTAAGACAAGGATATGTCTTCTCATCGTACTTACTCAACCAAATACAGTGTGGCGACTGGAAGATTTAGAAGACCTTCCAGGATTCATTACTAGCAGTCATAATCTTAACAATATAAGGGTTTTTTTGTATTTGCTCAATTCCCCCACGGGTTTAAGTTGTGACACAAAGTCAATTTAAAGTGGGGAGCCCGAGAGCGTACACCCGGGCTATGTATAAAATTTGCCCAAGTCCTCGCAAACAACAAATGCCAGATTGTTGATAGCAAACAAAGAACTGAAATTAAAAAAAAAATCTAAATATACAAAAATAGAAAGAGGAGTAAGACAAGGGTGTGTCTTCTCAACTGAACATTACAGTGACGTGATACTGAGAGATTTAGTAGTCATATCAGGGCACATTACTGGTGACAACAATATCATCAACCTAAGATATGCCGCTGACACATTGTTGACAGCAAAGAAAGGAAACTAACAGAACCCAAGAAGATACTGAAGGAAAGCGAGAATAACGGACTAAACATCAATTCTAAGAAAACAGAATACATAATTGTAGGGAAAAGGAACATCCAATATGTAAATTATAAATTGGAGATAACAAAATCAAACAATTAGAACAATTTAAATATCTGGGAAGTGTTTTAAGAGAGGACAGAACGTGAGACACTGAAAAGCCATTGGGATAGCAAAAGATGCCTTTCAAAACCCAAGCCAAGTATTAAGAAAATGAAACATTTCATTCGAAACAA